CAGGACCACCGCTTCACCGCCAGCATCCCTGCTGCAGGACCACCGCTCCACCTCATCCACAAAACCAAACTTTTTCCACCTTCCCTGAACCTTTAAAAATGTACATGGATTGTGGAGCGATACTCACAAAACCAGGCAGTTTTAGTGTTTCCCAGTCGTTTCAGACTACACTGTCTGGCAGTAGCAAATATTAATTTAATGATTGTTATACACAACAGAGCCCTATTTGTTTATGACACTTTGTCCTTTATTGTTTAAGCAACTGCAGTGTTAAAAGTTGGCCAGCAAATGAAGCAAAAGCTTAACTGTGTTAAATGTATAGAAAAACTTTATTCACCGCTTCATCTTCGTCACTAGAAAAAACAAACAAACTGAGAAAAATTATAATGTGGTTTAAAAAAAAGAAGCATTCAAGGAGTCAACATGTGAAGTGAGTAAATCAAACAAGATTAGTTACTTTATTTAGAGTATTTATGCTGGGAGGTGTGGTTACTGAATGAAAGGTACATGCACTGATGAGCGGACGGAATGCAGGTGAGAGGAACTGAGAAACAATGGGTGTGAAACTGGGAAGCAACACGACACAGAATCTACAAGCATGACTGAAAACATTTTTAAAAAAAGCAGAAACAATAATAAGTTTTAAAATGTCTGCAAAACCTCCAACTACAAGAGAATATAAAGTTTGTGTCTCAATATAAACAATGTTCTTTTACTAAGTTTGTTACAAATTGTAATGTAAGGGCACAAAAATCATCAATATCCACAATAAATTGATCAGTTGTTTTGTATGGTATGCTTTTTTGTTTGTTTGTTTGTTTTGGACTGGTCTTTATGATATTGCGGTGACTACCTTTAAACGCCTTATTTTGTTTTATTTTTAAAGATAGTTACAAGCTATAAGGTTTAGTATTTACCATTTCAGTCATTATTATTTTTAAGTTAACGTATTGTGTGAGGTCAAATGAAAGACGTCACAAAACGTGACTGTTTTCTTATATTCAGAGCTCAGAGTGTGTGGATCTAACCTGCTTCGTGTGCATTTTCTTTGTTTCCTGAACAGGTAACAAGTCTCAGACAAGATCCGCCGTCATCGCTGTCATTTCTGTTTTACTTGTGATCATCGTTGCTGCTTCAGGTTTTGCAGCTTACAAAAAGAAAAACGGTAAGAGGCTAAACGACGTTGTTATTTGCACTGAAGACCGAAGTTAAATTGTAGATAAAACCAGCAGAAGCCAACAAAGAAAGTGCTAAAAATTAAGTACATCTATAAAATGTCAGCCATATTGAATTATGGGAAAACTAAAAAGAATGGATTGTCTGATATATTTCATCAATAAAACTAAAACTGAAACCTTTGTCTGTGATACAGAAGAAAGTTATGAGAATTTAAATAAAGTGGACACCAGAGAACACACAAATAAATTGTTTATTCAGTCAAATATCTTGAAACGAACGGATCTGATTAATTTAAATATGCTATTAGTTATGTTTAACGCTAAAAAGTGATTATTGCCAATTAATTTACAAAAGCTCTTTTTCTTAAGCTCATGTGATAGAAATAACAGAAGGAAGTACAATTTCAAAAGTAAAACTGTGCGTACTTTAAAACAAATGTGCATTTCGGTGCATGGAGTAAAACTACGAGGAGTTTAAAAAATGCTCTGCTATAAATCATTTCAAAATACTTTATAAGAAAATGATAAACTCTTACACACTTTTGAGTTGTTAATGAGAAGAGTGACGTGTTGTTGGCAACTTGTTTCCTTCTTCCTGCTCCCTCTTCACTTGTGTCAGAGAATGTGTTTGTAAACTGGTGATCAACTTGTTCAATCGAGTGAATAAATTGATTGATTGATTGAAAATGACATTTTTTTATTTCTTTTTTTAGAAAGGCCATATACACCCAGTAAGTATGGCATAATATGTTGTTTTAAATTAATTTTAGCAATAAACTATGTTTCTGTACTCCAATTCAAAATCTGTAAACTAACAATGTTTTTGTCCTTTCAGCTTCGAACACGAGCCTTCTGTGAGAAACTGAATCAACAGTCGGATTGATAATTGATCGTTGTTCTGACGTCAAACAATTCAGTGTCTCGGTGAACAAATCCAAAGCAAACGCCTTTTTTATGCTGAATAAATAATTTGTATGAGATTGTTGTTTTCTGGTTTCGTGAACTGGTGTGTATAAAGAACAAGCTGTAAAACTAGTTTACAGGGAAGCACACCGTGCATGTCAAAGTCATTTGATGATTTTTATTAATAAGTGTTTTATCTTGCAGCATTTTACACTCAGTGTGTGATTTCTTAATGTACTTTTAATTGTACTTTAATTGTTTTGTGTAATCGTCTGATTTAAAAAAAAATGGACAAAATACTGATGTTACTTTTTTAATGTGATGTAAAACTTTAAATAAACAATATATTTCTTCTAAGCATTTAATCACGTTGCTGCTTCGTTGTAGAACTGATTCAGATGTGAACGCAGTTGGAAACTGTTTACTGACGAAAGCTGCGGATGTAAACTTTCGCGTGGACGAACACGTTTGAGACCAACTTTAATCTGTTTCTGAACACAAACCATGCAAGATGTGATCTAAAAGCATCATTTCAGATGATGTAAGTAACAGACGAGCGCTGACGCAGAGGCGCGACATTGTAAACAGAGCACTAACAAATGTTTGACAGTTTGTTTTGTTGCTCGTTTGCTTTAATTTACATCTAAAACGTCAGATTTTCATATTAATTCATGATTCTTCCTATGGGTAAAGCAACGCTGACCACTTTACTTATCCTTGTTCATTCTTTTCTGTAAACTGAAATTATTACATTTTAACGCATTTAAAAAGCAGCACAGACTTATACAATATAAGGCGGTTCTTTGTTTTATTCATCTCAAACCTTAAAAATAAGAGACATGGCTGTAAATGCAACATGGAAACTCTCAGAGCTCATGGAAACAATGACACTGAATTTAAAGTATGAAAACTCTCAAATGGCTACTGACAAAAATAAAAAAATACTATTTAAGCGCAGACCAGATGAGGATTAATGGCATTTCCCTTTATCAAAGTTACTGCCATTTTCTGCTTCACTGAAGCAAACGATCATGAACAAAGAGAAACTGTCTCTAATGTAGAAAACAGAACGTGAAGGAGGAGAGGTACAGAAAATTTATTTAACATTTCATCCTGTCAGCACATACATTTCCTGCTGACATGAATGCATAACCATCCATCCATCATCTTTACCTGCTTCTTCCATTTCAGGTTGCAGTGGTCACTGGTGTCCATATCCAGCACTGTGAGAGGCGGGGGACACCCTGGACGGGTCTCCAGTCCATCACAGGGACACATAGAGACAAACGAGACAACCATTCACTCTCTCTATCTCACCTAGGGACAATTTAGCGTTACCAATCAGCATAACATGCATGTTTCTGGTCTGTGGGCGGAAACCGGAGTACCTGGAGAAAACCAACACATGTTCCACTCAGAAAGGCCCGGGATTCAATCCTGCAACCTCGCTGAGAAGCAAAAGCTCTACCAGTTGATCCACTATGCCACCTGAATACATAACTAGAAACTGAAAAAGACAATTATTTGGGGGAGTAAAGGAAATCAGGAAAAAATAACAAATTTACATGAAAACAACAATAACTTCTTAATTTTTTTCTGGTAAACAAAAACAAAATTTTCTGTCGTTTTCTTTTGTTTTGAGTCTCTTAACAATAACAAGTTTTTTTTTATTTGTTTTATAAACACTTGTTGGGTACTCTATTCTAAAAACATCTGAAATTTAAAAATGTCTAAAGCAGACTAGTTCTTGTGTGACCCACATGTGAACTTTTATATTCTACCACTAGAGGGCGGTATTATTCTGAAGCTTCTCAGGTGGAGAAGAACATTTTCATACACAAAGAATTCATTCTAATATTTAAATTTTGGTAGATTCGACACACACTGCTTAATAGTAGATTATATACCTGAGTTTTTAAATATTTTATTTGAAGGTAGAAGTTGCATCAATTGTATGAAAGAGCAGATTTTGTATCTTTTTTTCTTGTGTGCTCAGAAAAAGATGATTAATAACCACTTTCCATTCCATCCTACAAAAGTAGCAGGTTTAATGTTGAACAGAGAAAGAAATCCACTTATAAATATGTTTATAAACTAAGAAACTGTCTCAATATACAAACAAAACACAAACGTGTTTTTCTGTGGTTGGTTTAGTCTGTATTTATCTTGTTTGTTGAGTGCAGAGTCCAGGAATCTGTCAAATACAAGGAGCGTGGAGGTAGAACTAAAAAATCTTATTTGAATAAACTAATCAAGAGCTGACGTGGCAGCAAAATACCCGCAGGCAAAACTTGAGGGAGAACAAGCATAACGGCTTGACAGCACAGTGCACGGACAACACATGAGAAAAAGGACGAACTTTAAAAAGAAACTGAGAAGAAATGAGGCATCCCACAAATATCCTATTTAATCTAAACTGTCAAAAGTTTTAGTCTGAACCAGAGCGCGGCCTAAGCACCGAAAAGCAATAAATGTTCTTTTATTTCTTTGAGATGTTGAAAAACCACCTCCTCACAGCAAAGACAGATGTCAGAAGCTCTCCCAGACAGACAGACATTTGAATCAATCAATATCCTTGTCATTAAGTAAAGTCTCCTTCAAGTTCACACGTTCTCGGGGGCGTCTGCAGCCGGCTGCTCATTTTGTCCGGGGGAACTCCGCTGACCCCTGAGCCACAGCCAGGGATTGTCCTGATGCAAATCAGGAGGGGGAACCAATTCATCGTCGCACAATTCGATTAGACATCTGCATATTGAGCATCTGCACACAACAAAAATCTGCCAATATCTACCCTCCATCCCCCACTGGCCCCCAGTGTGGTAAGCACCCCATGACCCGGGGGGCAGCCCTCTGTCCCTGCTCCACACCCACCTCCCCTTGTCGCCCCATGTCGTCCCCTCCTGACCCTGTCAGACCCGGCTACAATACCTGACCCCGCCCCAGAGACGAGACGAGTGGAGTTCAAGGTAAATGTTCCTTTTTCTGCGTCCGTCTGCCCGGCCTGGCCCCTGGCCGGCCCCTGGCCACTAATCACATGCACCGCTCTTTTTTTCACCCAGACAGACACTCGAAATGTTTTTTCCACAACAACTTTTTCAAGAATGGACACGTCCTAGTGGCCTCCCCGGAAAATATAAAGGTTTTCCTTTCGAAGTGTTTTTCATTCAGAAATCTTTGCCACTCGGACGATTTCCCTCCATTTTCAAACTGCTTTTTATTGATTCATCAGAATCTCTTCTCTGTGTTTGAAAGAGACAGCAAACATGTCAAGATGTTTAAAGGAACATGTTTGGCCACAACAAATCCAAAGTCGAGCTGGGCTGCACTAAAAGACAAAAATCACATCCAAATAAAATCTAATCAATCAGCATATTTCATTCTAAAATGTCCCATTGGAAGAATTTAAAAGAGACCTGGGTGTGCTGGCACTTTTTCATCTTTCACAGAGATTTTCTCTGTAGGCCATTTATTGATGTGGTTTTTTTTTTTACTTCACAATTAAACAAAGGGCTCAAAAAATGACAGCTGGGAGCTTTACTTAACAATCATAACAAAGTATGTGGTTTGGACAGCCTCACAATCTGAGTCTTTCTCTGAGAAATTATAATTATAATTATATTTCTTATTATTTATTGAGCATGCATAAGGATATATTTCTTAGTTCTCTCTGATAACACTCAAATAGATATTGTTTTTAAAGATGAGCATGTTTTATAACAAGGAGAGCAGTGAGACCAGCTATGTTGTCTGGTCTGGAGACAGAGACGTGGACAAGTGGGTATATTGGTAGAAGGATGTTAGAAATGCAGCTGCAGGACAAAGACAAAGAGGAGACATGTGGATGCAGTTAGAGAGGACATGGAGGTATTTGGAGTGAGGACAGAGGACAGAGTGAGATGGAGGACGAGGACTCACTGTGGAGACCCCTGAATTATCATTTTATGACACTTGCAGACATTCTGACTCAAATTGGCTTCTCTGGGACACTGTAGCCTTAACAACATTTACACACTTCAGTTACATTTCTAATCTTCAGCCTCTGAAATAAAAATCACATTTGGTGGTGTGAGGCAAGTCTGAACGTTGACATGGATGTGAAACAAAATGAAGCTCCATGCACATGACATGAGTTAGTACCACCAGTGAAGGTACATTTTTCTACCTGAGACAGTCAAAGTGGTATTTTTAATCTCCCAAGAATTTAAGATTAAGCAAGCAGTTTAAATGTACGTTGATATCTAAGAACCCCCACTTGATGTTTCAAGACCCACATTGAGTTTACGAACCCAAATGTGAGATCCACTGATGTAAAGTACTGAAAACACAGCAGCCTCCATCATTCTGAGAGTAAAACTTTAAACCATATGTGTCAAACTCAAGGCCCTCATTGATGTCTTATCTGGCCCCCGAGATGTTATGTTAAATGTAAAATACTTTTATCACTTTAATTTGTTCAGTAATCTTTGATTATGAGGTCAAAAGTGCAACAGAGAGCATCAAATGAGACCAACAGTCTCTTGTTGAGGAAGCTGCAACAAGGACGAGATGTTGGGTATCTAACTTGAGTAAATGTCGTTTCTGAAACCGGCCCTTAGTTTGAAATAGGTTTTAATTTTGGCCCCCTTTGTAAGTAAGTTCGACACCCCTGGTTTAAACAATCAAACATTCTGGATTCTCAGTGATTCTATGATTTTTTTTTTCAGAGGTTATATCTCTTTACAGGAGAACAACCATTTTTTAATGAAAATGAAGTGATTTCAAGACGTGACATAAAGAGGTTGCTAAAAAAAACTGAAAGACTTTGGACCAACAAACCAAAAGACTACAATTCAAACTGCATTTATAGAACACAACCTCTGATTTTGATCCGTCAAGCAACGACGCAAGACAGACGGGTCACACCAAATGTGAGATGTAAACAAAATTAAATCTGAGAAAAAACTTCCACATCTTAA